TGTGTGTGTGTATGTGTGTGTGTGTGTGTGTGTGTGTGTGCGTGTGTTGTTTTGGAATAATCTATTTACAAGCATTGCTTTGTGTGTGCTTTAGAACTTGTATTTGTGTGTTTGTATTTCAGAAAGAAAATATTCATTCCATTTGAAAATTCTTTGCATTTCCCCTGTAGTACTCCCGCCCTGGAAGCGGCGATATCGAGACTGTGAGAGAGTCCTTGTCAGTCTGTAACAAGAGGGCATGTCAGGTTGCACCTGAACCGAACTTGCCAGGTACATTACGCAGGGCAGGAACTTTCACAACCAGAGGCTTTACCTGAGCTGGTTTTAGTATTATTTAGTATTGTCAATCATTAAATCCCAATGTATTCAACAGTACCTACAACAGCAATTATTTGGTTAATTCTGCTTTTCGTCGCATTTTGTCGTCTTTATTTTGGGAAAAGATTTCATAATTCCCACTTTTTGCGAATTGCGTTTGTAAAGGGATTTTGATCGTTATGAAAACCAATATATGCCATTTACACTTCTATACGCTCCGACTATTTACTCATCTACACCTATCCCCACCCACCCTCATCTCCATTGTCAGCCCTTCACCCTCTTTATTCTCCTCTCTTCATACCACCATAGATACGGGACGGCCAACACCTCACATGGTGTGGTGAGTGCTATCGCATGTTGGAGACCCTCGTACATGGATGCTGGCCCGTCTTCAGGTCGACGTTCTCACGATCCGAGCTATCGACCATAAGCAAAACAGACCTCAAGGAAAATCTTTAAGAGAGTGACTGTGGGCTGAACACTTCAGACGTAACCAAGCAACACAGTCGCACTCGATAAATGAAAATTTAGAGCAGAAACGATATCAGCTCAAGTTACATGCTCCGAAAGCGCCAATGTACATAAATGCAAAAGTCTTTTTTGACTCAGTTTAAGGTAAATTAAAAGCAGCGATTTCTTCTAAACTAGTGCTAAAGTAGTCTGAGTAATTGAGAGAAAGAGAAAGAAAATCTAATTCAATCTAAATATAGTGATTCCATATCTAAAATTTGTCTTCAGGATTCTCTTGACATTTTGATCGGAGTCTCAAAGCAAGTTCGTTTTCAGACATATATCATGTCTGTAATAAGCTATGTTAGATATGTTCAGAAATGAGTTGGAATTTTATCAAATTTTCACATAAGTAAATTTGTGACAGGAAGTACTGTATCAGCAAATTGTGAAGTCATATGAACAGTCTAACCATCTTTTTCCGTTAGCATGGGTCGGATAATATTTTCGAAACGCAGGTACAGTATAATTTTATATCGGCCTACACATATTTTTTTCTTAAATCAATTCCTGAAGTCGTCTTTGTTGAAACTCGGTGTCATTAAGTACCTCTGTGTCCTAAATATCTATTTGATAGCACGAATCTCGTAAGATGAATAAAGGTATGAAGCTCTGCGTTTTCTCCTTACTCCTTCACTTCGTTGTAAAAAAACAGTCTGTTCCAGGTGGGAGCTCTGTGAACGAGTCTATTTATTCCCTATCAGCTCGAAATAAGTGTCCATTGTGTGTTAGGATACTTGGTACCTCTCTGTAAAATGAGACTCTTCACAGAATACATCGGGAACTGTATATTAAGAAATTGAGACAGTTTACTATGTTCTACTCCATTTCGGGCTCGCTTTAGTCCTGTGTTCACTAATGTGTTGAAAGACTATTACAGCGCCCAAGTTCTGGCTGTAAGCTTCAGGATCTTTTTCCTGATCAAAGATATATATATAGAAATGAATCTCTATATATATATATATATATATATATATAAATATATATATATATATATATATATATATATATATATATATATAACATATCGATCCATGTTACTGAAAGCGATGTGCATCGCCATGCTGCCACATTGTGTGATCTTTGTACTCTGAGGCTCAGCTGTGAAGTTAAAGTGAGCTGATTCCTTCTTGGAAACAATTTCGATCATTTTGGAAGCGGGGTTGCTTCGTCTATGTGTGACAGACCAGCCTTGGTTTAGAAAGATAAAGACAAGAAAAACGAAGATTCTCAATGAAACAAGCTTTCGACTAAGAATTTGAAGTGTACAAGGCAAATGCCCTAACCATTACACCACAGGCACCAGTAGGATGGGCTAACAGGCCAAAATAATTGTTGTAAGATTGTGTAAACTCTCCAATAAAGGGTTACAAAACTATAAAAACTAAAGGAAATCTCTTTACCCATCAGAAAGCTCCCAATGCGAGGATGGGAATGTGTCCTTTTCTTCTGTGGTAATTGCTATTGGCAGTCATAGAAAAACCACAGAAGGCAGCAAGTAGATTGTTTACATTTTGCGCTTGAATTGTAGGAATATTTTTGAGTTTTCATCGGTCTGGATAAAGTAAAACTCTCTGGAGACTACATGTTGCTTCTTGGGTTGATCCCGTACAGTTCACATAGGTGTAGAATGCATGGTTTCAAACATCTGTACGCATTAACTTTTAAATCAGTCTTGCAAAACCAAACAAACAAAACGACGTATGGGAATATATGGTAGGACGCTAATATCAAGTGGGTATAGCATTGTTTATTATTATGTGAGCTCGAACAAGATCAGACTAATTCACTGCAGAGTGGAAGAAGCAATAAAGAGAAATTGTTGAGCCGTGGCAAGCGTCAAACGGGTAAAGAATAGAAGATAAAAAAGGAAGGTTAGAAGACAAGTGCCAGCCTTACGACATGGCGTTATCCGTGATGTGAAGGATATTTTAGAAAGAGAGAAAATACTCGATGGAATCTTACATTATAAACCTGGTAGAAAAGAAGCAGTCAGAGAATGAGATCTAATTATAAAAAATTTAGCAGAGAATATTGTACAACTTGCTTTAGTTTTAGCTAGATCTAGATTACTTGTCTTTTTTCTCTCTTTTAAAACGATATTTTGCTTGTTTTTGTTTTGGCTAGACTAATTGTCTGGGTTTTTTTCTCTCTTTTAAAACCACATTTTGCTTTTTTGTCTGAAATACTGAAGCAGAGCCAGATGGATAGATGTACAGACTTCAACATAAGTCAAGGACTACTTGCAAACACTCTAAGTGGACTGCTTGGGTCGATCTGCACGTAGGCGTTCCTGGACTGATCCAGAGGCTTGATGGCGCTGCCTCAAGCGGACAATGACAGAGTGTGACACTGCAAGCCTTCTGGCAACTTTTCGGGCTCCAACTCCATCCTGCAGCCATGCCATAGCTCTGGCACAATCAAAGTCTCTCAGCTTTCGTCTTAGTGGCATGTTGATACGATACGGCGGCTTAGATTGCGACCAAAGTGAGCACAGTTCGAGTCCGTACGTCCGTTTATGAAGAGCACCAGAAATTTTAACTGAGGAATGTCCGCGGTGTCGCACACAAGTCGATAAAAAACAGCAAATTTTGCTAAAATTCCCCGAGGATTTCCGTGTTGCATGTGGTGGTTTTGCCCCTTTAGGAAGCTTTGCTGTACGCATTGGTAATCTATTAACACTTTCAGAGCAAAACATTTTGAAACATTCCTTGAGGTTGTTGTTTTTTCTTCTGATTTAAAACAAATCAGGGCTGTCTGTCAAGGTGGTCCTTAACTTATGTTGAAGTCTGTACTACATCCACAAAGACATATGAACACCATAGACTAGAATCATAGTTTCGTAGATCGTGAACGTCGTTCCTTGCTTTCTATAAAAACTTCGTGGCGAAGCGCGCTCACCGTGGGCGGCGCCATAATGACCAAACGAAGGGGACGAGGGGACCGCGCAATCGTACTGCAATGGATTTTTCTTTGGAGTTGACAGACGGGCTATCCCACCTGTAACATGTCCTTACAACAACACGCTTCATATCTACGAAAGGTTTTGATCCAATTAATCTTTGACAATTTAAAATCAATGAGTTTTTTAATGAGTGAGAAATTTACCAACTCATAAAATATACGGTAAATACAACGGAGATGGCAACATAAAAGTACAAGAGAATCAACAATGAGAAACACGCAACTACTGCTACAGCTACAATAATTGTGTACTACTGCTACTACCACTACTACTACCCGTATGTGCCGCTACTACTACTACTACTACTACTACTACTACTACTACTACTACTACTACTACTACTACTACTACTACTACTACTACTACTACTACTACTACTACTACCACCACTACCACTTCTACTACTACTACTACTACTAGTACTACTACTACTACTACTACTACTACTACTACTGCTGCTGCTGCTGTTGTTGCTCCTGCTGCTGCTGCTGCTGCTGCTGTTGCTGCTGCTGCTGCTACTACAACGACTATTGTAATTACCATTATCATTATCATTATCATTATCATTATTATTATTATTATTATTATTATTATTATTATTATTATTATTATTATTATTATTATTATTATTATTATTATCATTATCAGTCATCATCATCATCATCATAATCATCATCATCATTATTATTATTATTATTATTATTATTATTATTATTATTATTATTGTTATTATTATTATTATTATTATTATTAGCACAGCAACACCATCGTCCTAATTATTATTATTGTTGCTGTTATTATTATTAGTTGTAGTAGTATTATTAGTATTATTATTATCAATGTTATTGTTATTATTATTATTATCACAATCATACTTGTCATTATTATTATTATTATTATTATTACTATTATCATCATCAGTAATCATCATCATCATAATCATCATTATTATCATTATTATTATTATTATTATTATTATTATTATTATTATTATTATTATTATTATTATTATTATTATTATTATTATTATCAGCAGCAACAAAACCAACGTCCTAATTATTATTATTGTTGTTATTATTATTATTATTATTATTAGTAGTAGTAGTAGTAGTAGTAGTAGTAGTAGTAGTAGTAGTAGTAGTAGTAGTAGTAGTAGTAGTAGTAGTAGTAGTAGTAGTAGTATCAATGTTATTGTTATTATTATTATTATCATAATCATAGTTATTATTATTTTTATTATTATTATTATTGATGTTAGTAGTAGCAGTAGTGGTAGTATTGTAGTTGTTCTTGTTGTTATTATCATTTTTGTTATTATCATTATTAAATTACTATTACGAATTATATTTATTTATATTTTTCATCCAAATAAAAAGAAGCAACGTGTTGGGAGCACTACATGACACGAATTTCGTTGCAGTCGAATGCGCACGACACCTTACGTTTGCCCCTCATCTGTTTCTAACGGCGTGCTCCAAGTGAAACCGAAAATACGCAACAGTGGAAAAGCTAGGGTAATATGATACAAGTTTATTGTTGACTCTATGTTTTTCTACTCTCAGATGCAGCAAATTTCACTATGCTTTGATAGTGCTATTTTAGACTTTTTAGCAATAACGCATTTTTTTACAGACTGCAGTTGACACTGTTAAGACTGCAAGATTACCCCGCTGAAGCAACAATTCTGATAAACTTGGTGCGGCCCGCGGGTGGGAACGGGGAAGAGTCCTGTAAAAACAGGAACGTCCTTGCTTGAGAAAAAAAAGACCCACCGATATTGATCTATTGTTTCGTATTTTACGGAAAAATAAAGTTGAAAATAATGTGCAGTGATCTCGGAGATAAAGCCCAAAGCCCAGAGACCTAGCCTGTTTGAGGTTTGGAAGCAACTTACAAGAACTCCTTTGTCCAGGATTTGTGTTTGGTAGGTCTTTATAAACTGTGCAGGCGGACAGGAAATTGGAAATATAGATTCTTTGCTCGAAATGTGTGCTCATGTGAGATCTTCACAAATAATGTACAGACCAACAGAAAGTTAGAGCTTCATTGTCTGACATGTGTACGCAATAGATGGTCACTAACTGTTAAGATCCACAGGAAGTTCGAGGTATGGATTATTTGCCCGACATATGAACTCAAGGGATATTAATCAACTGTCTAGACCAACAGAAAGATGGAGATAGCAAAAGTGTCCATGACGAGGTGGTTTAGAAAATGACACTAGCTCCTCAACATAAATGTCTGACATGGCTCTTTGCACCGTATCGGTACCTCTGCCTGCCTCACAACACAACCAAAATGACCCCAGATCGTAGAGCCAGAGATGCCTTGATATAATCTGATATGTGTAACCGTTTGCTTGTTTTTTGTTTGTTTGGTTTTCTTTTGTGAGAGCCATGAAGGTCGTCTGTTTGTTTGTGATTAAGTGAGTCAGTGTGTGCGCGTGTCACTGCGAATAATTGCTTCGTATTATTCGCATGTTTGGTTCATGCTAGAAGATAATAATATAAGGAACAGTTCGTCTAACTTTTTGTCTTGGGTTTGATCAGATGAAAAGTTAACTGTTTCTATGTGAGCGATGATGAATCTGACAAGTGGGACATCAAAGTTTCAACAAAGAAATCTCTTTATTACACAGTACTGGTCATTTAGTTATTACTTAACCACATTTTGCATCCTATCTTCCCAGGTCTGATGCACATAAAAAGCTACTTTTTGCCACTTTCTAATGATGCCCAGATCCCCAGCTCCCTCTGGTGCAGCACCTGGGTCAATTGAGGGATTTCATCTGAGGAGGAAAATAAAGAAGTCATTATTTCAGTGTGTAAAACTTTTTGATATATGGTAGTCTGAGAAAACAGTGCAAGTCATTGACAAGTTATTGAGCTGTCTGTGACATAAAATGTTTCATTTTTTTCCTACATCC